CTTCCCAATCCTTGGTCCATTGGAAGCAATGCTGTTTTAATGTGTCTCTTCCAAGCGCTTGTGGGGTTAGGGTTAGGGTTAGGGTTAGGGTTAGGGTTAGGGTTAGGGTTAGGGTTAGGGTTAGGGTGTCTTTGGGGTTTGAGGGGACTTGGGGGTTCCCTGTGGGCTTCTCACCTTCTCCCCTTTTTCCTGCCCTTCAGCTCAAAAGGGCCGTGGAGCAGTGCGTCAAGGGCACCGGTGCCAGCAGATCCCAGCAGCCTCCAAGCAAGTCCAGCCCCCAGGAAGGGAAGCCCCCCAAAGAGGGCAAACTCAGCACCCCCCAAAATTAAGGTGGGATGGACGATGGAGCCTTCACCTCTGCCCCCAAATCACTTGACCTTCTGCCCATCCGCCCCATCATTCATCGTCCAGACTTGGATGACGGAGGAAGCCAGGAGGGCAGCGCAGAAGGGGAGCAAGCCATTTGGGAATGGGTCGGTGGCATCCCCTTTCCGAAATGGGGGGCACCAGGTGGGTGAGAGAAGGCATACCGTACATACCTGATTCTGGCAGGGACAGTCCCGATTCATCCTCTGCCGTCCCACTGTTTCAGCTGCTTTTAAAACGTCCCAGTTTCTCTCTCCTCCTCCCACTTTCCCCCTTTCTCCTCAGCTTACTTCACTTGCTCCAAATTGGGTTCAGATTGAAAAAAATCAGCATTTTATAGTGTGGTGTAACAACAACAACAACAACAACAACAACAGTGGGCCCTTGGTATCCACTGGAGTTTGGTTCCAGGACCCCTTGCGGATACCAAAATCTGTGGATGCTCAAGTCCCATTAAATGCAATGAGTTGTTATTGTTGTTGTTGTTATTATTGTTGTTGTTGTTGTTGTTGCAGTGGGTCCTTTGTATCCACTGGGGTTTGGTTCCAGGACCCCTTGTGGATACCAAAATCCGTAGATGCTCAAGTCCCATTAAATACAATGAGTTGTTGTTGTTATTATTATTATTATTATTATTATTATTAATCATTGCAGTGGGTCCTTTGTATCTACTGGAGTTTGGTTCCAGGACCCCTGTGGATCCCAAAATCTATAGATGCTCAAGCCCCATTATATACAAAGGCATAGTAAGATGGTGTTCCTTATATAAAATGGCAAAATCAAGGTTTGCTTTTTGAAATTTATCTATTTTTAAAAATATTTCCGAACCGTGGAAGCTTGAATCCGTGGATTAAAAACATATCAGTGGATACGGAGGGCTGCCTGCATTATTTGCACTCCCTAAGTTCAGCAAGGAGGAGAGGAAGAGCAGAGCCTTGCCTTTCCCCGGTGGCTCAGGCAAAAGCAAACTGCTGCAGCCTTCCCCGTCGTATCTGTCTTTCGTCCTTTATTGCTTTTCCTCTTGACCACTCTCTCAGGCCGCTTGGTCAGATGGGTCCCTGTTTAAACCTGTGAAATGTTGGAGGCTATGTGGTTATCCGAGAACCGGTGTGGCATAGTGGTTTGAATGCTGGACTACAACTCTGGAGACCAGGGTTCGATTCCATGCTCAGCCATGAAGTCCACTGGGTGACCTTGGGCAAGGCACTCTCTCTCGGCCTCAGGGGAAGGCAATGACAAACCCCTCTCTGAACAAATCTTGCCAAGAAAGCCCCATGATAGGGTTGCCATAAGTTGGAAACTACTTGAAGGCACACAACAACAACCTTGCTTCTAGTCCAAAGGCGGTTGCAGACTCAGAGGTGAGTCCTGGCACCACAAGAATTGGGAGGTAAGTTACCTGGACTCTCTGGAAAGTCTTTGCAAGTTCCAGCAAGAAACCAATTAATATTTGGTCATTGCAGGAAGCTGCTGCTCTCCTAGTTCAACTGGAGATTTGCAC